AAATGTCGTTTATATATGCAACTAATAACTGCGGCCTTTAACGTGGAGCCTTAGCCTGCGCCGCATCGCAATCTATATATTATATATCCATAGGGCCACACAATGTCCAGTGTAAATTTTAAAAAACAAATAAGAAGAGAAAGACAACGGCTTGATTAATAAACATAATAATAAACGAAAACTACAATAATAGGAACACAGAAACAAACGAAAACCATTGCCGCAACCCCATTCCTGTTACACCATCGCACTTTAGCGTGCTATACCTTCGCACTTTAGCGTGTCATACCATCGCACTTTAGCGTTTGACATCATCGCACTTTAGCGTATAACATCGCACTTTAGCGTGACCATCGCACTTTAGAGTACCATCGCACATTAGAGTCCTACATATATATATATATATATATATATATATATATATATATATATATATATATCTACCTGTTAGTCAAATGCGTTTTGTTAAAATATACTTTTTCACTTTTTTGGTCTTTTGGAAAATGTTGTTTGTGCTGTATTTAGACCCTTCTAACAAGAAATTTGTTTTGCATGCACACGTATACAAATTGCGGTTTTATCCAACGCAATTATAGGTTTGAACGTTGTTTTCAATTTAGACTTGTATATATATATATGGTGTACAAATTTTTGCACCTCATGTTTGCGGTATACCATCTTTTCCGCAAGTTTATTGTTTTCTGTTTGGTATTAAATAAATATTTAAGATCCATTTTGTTACATCTTGTGATACGTTTATTTGGCAATCGCCATGGCAGTCAGCAGGGTTTAAGAACATCAGCTGTTCGACCTGTTAGTCAAATGCGTTTTATTAAAATATACTTTTTCACTTTTTTGGTCTTTTGGAAAATGTTGTTTGTGCTGTATTTAGACCCCTCTACCAAGAAATTTGTTTTGCATGCACACGTATACAAATTGCGGTTTTTATCCAACGCAATCATAGGTTTGAACGTCGTTTTCAATTTAGACTTGTTTATATATATATATATATATATATATAATTATATAATTATATAATAATATACCCGCAATTTATATATATATATACATATATATATACAACTCGTCTAAACATCAGCCCAACAATGTTAGATCTGTAAATTTGCTTTCGCAAATTTTTTGTTCTTCCCTCGCCGGGATTCGAACTCATGCTACTGAGATATCGTGACACCAAATCGCCTGCACTGTATCCGACGACCACTCGACCACCTAGGCTTCACTATAATAAAGCTTTCGGTGGCCGGGTGTTACCATTCCTCGTCAGTTTTAATCTAGCGTCGTAATACAGTACATGATATACAAGGCATGAAGATGGAATTGTTACAGATCAGCTGAAATATCTATTGTAAAGGATCCTACAAATTAATGCAAGATACAGTCACAGAAATAATTATATTTATAAGTACGTCTGAACCAGTGACAACTCTACAACAGATTTATCCATCGGATCACCAGCAGTGATGGTGATACATGGCTGTGTACATTCTGTATATACAACTCGTCTAAACATCAGGCCAACAATGTTAGATCTGTAAATTTGCTTTCGAAAATTTTTAGTTCTTCCCTCGCCGGGATTGAGCTAAAAATTAGCGAAAGCAAATTTACAGATCTAACATTGTTGGGCTGATGTTTAGATATATATGTATATACAACTCGTCTAAACATCAGCCCAACAATGTTAGATCTGTAAATTTGCTTTCGCAAATTTTTTGTTCTTCCCTCGCCGTGATTCGAACTCAAGAAAAAAAAATGTAGCGAAAGCAAATTTGCAGATGCATGAGTTCGAATCCCGGCGAGGGAAGAACAAAACATTTGCAAAAACAAATTTACAGATCTAACATTGTTGGGCTGATGTCTGTGTCCTAAATCACAGGCTTATTTTATATGTATATATATATTATTTTTTTTATTAGAAAATAAGATATAGATGACCTATATCGTAGAAATATAAGAGCAATAAAATCATTAAATAAGTTGAAATATCTATAAGAGCATTTAAAACTACAACAAAAACCAAGGAATTGTATATCTAAATATACAATTCCTTGCAAAAACCACTGAAATAAAACCTTTAGAAAAAATGGGTGTGCATTCCCAAATTACTTGTGTCCTAAATCCTAAATTTTATGATCACACCAATTTTTTTTTTTTAAATAAAAAAAATTATACCATAAACTGCCTTTAAGGTTTTAAAATATTGACCTTTTCTTTCATTTGAAATTTAAGCGATGTCAAATAAATAACCAAACAAGATAAATATTAATCCCCCCGATCACCTTTTGATCCTGGTAATTAACAGTTTATTCCTTAACCAAAGAAAACCTGAAAAATTCAAAGAAGTCCAGTCTTTTGATGTACAAATTACATAATAATTGCAAAATTATTTGAACACTTTCAATAATTTGTGCAATGACAAAAAAGCGACATTGGATCTTTCACGATCTTAAAAAAGGGGGTACCGATCTTTCACGATCATAAATATCGAATTTATACAAATAATACAATTTTGACCCTCTTTCTGATTAAGCAACTTCAAAATAATATTGAGACTGTTGAGTGACCTGGGACATCCGTATAATAGTCCCGGGAGCCACTTCAAACATAAATATAGAACGACATTCTTCAGAGAATCATTCATATAAATAAACAAATCAGTTTTTTTTTAACATTTTTTATGTCATTGAAATTTTGAAGAGCAATCTGCATTTTGTATAGTTTTGTTAAGACGGTAATATTTTTTAAACTCTGATCTTCAAAGATACGAATCGTTATGTTGAACCATTTTGACAGACAGTTTTATTATTTTCAAAATGTGTCCTTATAATTCAATAAATTAGATTATCTATTGACCTTCCATGTGTCTTCTTGATAAGATTTATTTCACGATCCCATATATACCAGAACTTTCACGATCCTATCGCAATACTTGACCACCGTTTCTTATTCTTTCACGATCATTTTTCTCGATGTACCGAATGGCAGCCGTAAAAAAGAAGCATGAAATTATAGTTTATTGAAAATAATGCTCTATTATACTCCAATGGGGTTGATGGTATACATGAAAATTAACAAAATAACACACTACATAATACATTACAGAAATAATTTTAAAAAATACATATATGTACATATCATGCAGTTGTTGAATCCACTCTCCTCAGTGACCAAGACTTTTAATAAATAGAGCACTCGGCATACCGCATAACTGACGGACACTGATGAAAGATATAAAACCATAACTGACGGACATGAAAGATATAAATAAAACCATAACTGACGGACATGAAAGATATAAAACCAATGTATCCAAGTTATCCATCTCATCTATATTTGAATCGATATTTTTTGATTTTTTTTTAAGAATTCAAGTCTGAAGTTTTCATTTTGTTTACAATAAAATACGAAATAATCTTCATCATCTATCTTATTTTAGAAAAAAAGAAGCCTTCAATTCTTATAATTACATTTTCATGCTACAACCATGAAAGTAAGAGTTATATCAAGCTTTTCGTTTATTTTCCAATGCACTCAATGCTTAAATAAATTAATTGTATTCCCGGCACACACTTCATCATCATAACATAATTATATGTGCAAATCTGAGACGTTTCTTAATTGCGGCAATGGACATTTGAGCGATAAAAAAGGACGTTTGAGCGCCGAAATTTTAGGACATTTGAGCAAAAAAAAAAAAGGACATTTGAGCTAAAAAAAACAATTCCGTTGGCGTTCGCAAGATATAATCTGTTACCCCTGCTCACCACAGAGAGGTGAAAGTAGGATTTCGAGCAGGATATAGTTAGTAAAATGTGGAGTTTATAACGCACAAAGTTTAAAACATCCCTTTACTGTAAAAAAACAAAGCACTTAAAACTCGGCAACGGCATTATTTACAAGTCAGTTCGGGCTTGAAAGGGGTAACAGAGTTATTTCCTGCTGGCAGTACCCTGAATGCAAGTCCAGGAGATTCTGTTCATTCTCCTTTTCTGTTCAACTCTGATCGAGGTGCATCAATATTCAAACTCCGAATCAGTTTGATGTAAGTCACAGATTGCAATTTGACAATGGTGTCAAAGAAAGTATAAATTGATGGATAACTATGATAAAATTGCTCATTTTAATGGGCATGAAATGATTCGAGTTCATTGTTTATACGTTTTGACGTAGATGGAACTGCGGCCCAGAGATAAGGGGGAAAGTATCACATGTAATTTCGCTCAAACGTCCTATTTGATAATCCAGGTTATGTTAATATTCCGGCGCTAAAATGTCCCATAATGTCGGCGCTCAAATGACCCTATGTGCATTTTTTTTATTTCCGCTCAAATGTTCTATACTCCTTAATTATCACATAATATTTAATAAATTTATTGTATTCCGCCACTTCGATCATCTTCATCTTGGTCATTTTTTTTATTCAGCATTGATTTGTTTACCCTTTTCGCTAAACTCGAAATAGCCAGCTTGATATTTTGAGTTATTGAATATTTAAAAAGATGCATGCATATCAAAATTTTACTGTTATATTAATTTTTATCAGGAGTGGATTACAAGAGTACAAAGATTTTGTCAATCTAATTAATATATTAAAAGTATATATATCTCTGGTTTCGTTGCTCAAATGAAACGCTAAGAGTTTTATGGGCTACATATGGCTAAATTTCCGCCGCTATCCAATATAGAGCAATATAGATCAATATACCTTCTTTTTCCAATGGCAGTCTAAATTTTCCGACCTTCATCCCGGTAGATCCCTATTACCGGAACTACCTTTTGTATTTAATTTGTTAAGGAAATTGTTCTCATCCTAAACATGCATGGAATATTTGCCACTGGACGTTAAGCACACAACAATCAACACTGCAATCAATCATTTACAGAAATTTTGTTAAAGTTGTCGGTACTGATCTTGCAAATCACCAGATGGTGCTTTTGGCAGGTGCTTGTGACGTAGAATATCCTTATAGGGAAATGTGTCAATTACATGCAAAGTAAAACAACATTCAATACACAACGTAATTTTTTGGTGGGAAATTTGTGTTTACATTTGTTATTTTATTGAAGTAATACTTGAGGATTTAATTAATGGATTTTATGGATGTACGCTTTTAATAGCTTATTGACGGATTGTGATACATGATAATATGTAAACAAACGCAGCTCTGTTTATCACATGTAAGTTGCAATACACAAACACACAACATTTAATATTTGGCAGTCACTACACCAAATCAATATTTTGACACATGAAATGTTAGTTAAAAAATAAGCCAACTTAAAATCATAATTTGAGGAGTCATTAATTGTTTGAAATGGAGTTGGAATAAGGCCAAATAAACCTGTGACCTTTTGTGTTGCAGGGTAAACCTGGCCAAAACTGAGGTCAACTACATTTCAGGAATGTGTTTGTTTACTCCATCTACAGTTTGAATTTAGATTGTATACAATAGCATAATAATTTTACAAGAATTAAAAAGGATAAAACAGTTTGCAGTGTTATGTTTTTTAAGCAACAACATTAGCATAACAAGTATCATTATTTTGCTGATGAGCGCCATTTTTTTCTTCTCAGATTAAATAGGTCAAGGGTTTTGTTGGTGCTCTGACCGAGGAATACACATCTTTGTTTGGATTATCTGACCAGCCTGACCAATGTGAAGACAAGAGATAACCAGATAATGCATACGCTGTATATTTTGCTTTTTGCTTTGGGAATATATACTAGTGTTGGCTTAATACAAGTTGGTAAGTGTAAATAAACAAAAATACAAGAAAGATGTTTGGATGATCCTTGTTGCTGAATTTACGATGTTGACATTGATTGGCGATGATTGTTGTTGGATGAAAAACAAATAGTTTATTCATTTTCAGTATTAATGGGGTGTATATAAATTTGTAAGTTATTTAGTTCTAGTAGGGATGAGATATACTGATTGAAATATCTAGAGGGCATGCATCATGTTTTTGGGAATGGTAAAGAAACATGCAGGCAACCCATCATGTAATCTAACCATGCTAACAGGGATAATAAAATATTAAAGTATTTTCTTAAAATTTAGATGCATATTTTAGTGTTAAAATAATCATAAGAAAATAGATATTAGTATAGGTATAGTTTAAAGTCACATGATAACAATATCATTAAAATTTCTCTCATTTTAAAAGTTAGGTCTTCTGTAAAATTACATAAACAAAAACTGGATATATAAAATAAGTAAGTTGTAAAAGAAGTTTTGGTTTGTATATTTGTTTAAGACATAGGCTACACGATGCAAATTATCAGTGTACATGATGTAAGATTTAGGGTGAATTAGAATATCTTTAAAAAATACATGGAAATCATATTAAACGGTAAACCTGAAGTATGAGGAATTTCATATTTTAAATCATATACAAATGAATGATACATTTATAATATATGAATAATGTATGTACTTGTATAAATGATATATATATATGTTTATTTTTATCTATATTTTTATATGAATTAGTATATTTACTTGAACTTGAGACATACAGTGAATCCAATGTTTAGGAGTTGTCTGCAGTATTTAATATTTAAAAATGTGTGTTCTAAGTTAATACTAACAATATTGGTAAGCATTATTTAAAAAATGTTTACCTGGTGATTTCTGGATACTTTTGAGTTTTTTGCATTCACAACAAATGAGAGCAAAATATCGTATTGTAAGTTCAAGTTTTGTCAAGTATTTATTCAAGTTTAAATTTTAAGTGTTTGTTAAACTACAGGATGTGAGAAGGGTTTTATTTTCCATAATACTTTTTTCTGAAGTAAGGACTTTTAATGTTAGATTTATAATTCTGATTATTTTGAAATAATAAATTGAGATAATTTAAATTTAAAAATAAGGTAGTTGTTATGATCCACAACTTCCCAATAAAAAAAGTTGTGACACTATAGAAAAGACCCTTGCAAACAGTTTTGTAAACAGACAACTTCAAATATTTTGATTGTTTTTCATCAATTATCATGGAGCCATAAGCTTGTAAGACACTGCTTGATATGTTTTCAATTTTTGAATGAGAAAGATGTATGGTTTACTTTTATATACATGAATAAGATTAGCCATATTAGATTAGTTCTGAACCCATTTTCTTCAGAAAGAATTTAAGTATACCCTGGTGTAATTTTAGCTGAAAGAGACTTTTCTTGATACTCTCTATAATGTAGTATAATCAATGTTGCCCTTAAATAAAAATTTTTACCATATAGGTTTTTTTACTATTTACTTGAAAATTAAATAGATAGATGGCAAATTTGAATTGATCAGCATTAAAAGTTCTATTATATACTAAAATGCTGAAGTCCATCAATTGACTCCTTGTAGGAGTTATTGACACTATTTGATGTTTTTTTTTAACAATATATAATATTTCTTATAATCTTAAAAACTGTTTCAGATAAAACTTAAATTTAACAGTAAACAGCAAAAATGATGAGCAAAACACGATTTACGATTACTTCACACAAACAAGACTGTGCATCGATTGTTTGCCTTTGCCCACAAATATTTATGCTGAAATGTTCTTTATGTACCATATTCTTTATATACCATATTCTTTACTTTTCAACCAAAATTTCAATGTGCCAGAGGTGGTGCTTCACATGAGATAATGAATTAAAGGTTGAAAAACTGAAGAATTTCTAGAAAAATAGGACTATTAATTGAAATTTTTTCCTATTTCAGGCTAATATATAGATTTATAATGCATGAAGCAGATATACAATTTTTTGACTTATGCTTTCAAAAATAATACATTTAGCAATACATACATATTAGATTTGCTCAAACAATTGAAGTTTAAAAAATACACCTTTGTCATTATTTACAGGACTATTTATTGGGGTTCCTGGCTCTGACTCCTTAGACATGAAAGATTTTTAATATGTTTAGATTTTATTTTGTGAATTATGTTATGATTCTTCAACCATATAAAAAAAGAACATGGATAAAATGCATATACAAATGTTATAGTTTAATGTATAAAAAGTTGTAGTGAAATCTAGATTTTCTCAGTTCTGAAAGGCTTTTTCTCATTGGAATATTACCATATTTAAAGGATTATTATGAACTTTTGATATTTTCCTGAAAACAATCATTTCAAGAGATTATTGTAACTAGCAAAATTAATCAACGAATAAATTGAGATCTATAAATAATTTCATTCGTTGTTGATATTTTGACGACTGCTTAGGTGAGGTCCATTTGCTTTTAGGGGTAAGTAAATAGTTTACTTTATCTCTATTTTATAGGCAAATCAATATGGTATATTTATGCCAGATGAGCCATTTATTCTATATGGAGCTTTACATTTATGACATATTGTTTAAGTAGTCTCCTAGGCCTGGTTCATTAATTTAAAAATCTTTAGTGGTGATCCAATAAGACTGTTACTTGTGTGTGTGTTACTTGTGTTTGTGCACCAGTAAAAAAAAGGAGAAGATAGCAAGGGGACGATCTATAAATAACTATCCAAGTCTTAAACATGAGTAACATAGTTGTGCTTAAAATCAGGTGAAACTTGTTTTTGGGCTGGAAGCCACCCTTATGCCATCAAATGATAATTTAGTAGTTTTCTGAAGTTACTTCAAACTACTTTTTCATGTACATACATTTATTTACCTTCACTTTTAAGTTTTTCTCATTGTTAGAATATTTCAGGATTTGGTTTAAAAGTTTGAAAAACCTTTATTTCACCATGTCTTTTGAAATATAATTTTATGAACAATCAATTCAAAGTGAAAAGTTGATATCATGATATTGAAAATTCCACTAAGTCACAGTAAGAGTGGTGGTGTTGAAACATCTTATTTTGTTTATAATAATTTCTGGCTAGAATATTGCCTGTAATATTTTTTAGTGATTTTCCAGAAGAAAAATAAGAATTTAATTCATACTTGAACATTTTCAATGAAATCATGAGGGCAGAGTATCACGAGAATTAATCGAGTTGCTGATCTCTTGTATTGTAGGTCCCTGTTTAAATTGATAACCTTAAAAAGAACAATTCTCATGTCATTACTTATAAATATTATTTAATAGTTTTATGATTTTGATTGAAATTATACATATATGAAGCTGAATAAAACATGATAGTGTTTCTGATACTTTTATTAAACATACCGTAGATATGTTATGCAGCGGTTGATGTGAATGGGATGTTTCTTTATAATTAATTTAAAATCCAGAAAGAATTTTCTGAATTATACATATATATATAATAAAAAAATACTGTAAATTTATACATTTTGATTAAGATGGAATAATATCGCAATAATTAAGATTGAAGTTAAACTCACAAAATCACATGTATAGGTACAAGTAAAACAAAAGCAAAAAGAAATATTTCAAAAATAGTTGCAATCCTGTCCTGGTTTTTATTGAATGTGGCATCACTGTATGAGACTTATCATTGAATTTGTAGTTTCACAAGCAAGACTATTTCTATGTTTTCTATGTTGTGTTTTGTAAACTGTTGTTTGTCTTTTAGTCATGTTTAGTTTCTTGCTATGGAGTTGTCAGTTTGTCTTTGACTTATGAGTTTGACTATCCATCCCTCTGTCTTTTTCAAGTACTGAAAGCAATCTAAAAGCAATTTGATCATCTGGTACAGAGATCATACCTTCTTAACACTCTTTAACGTTTAGGGGTTTATTTAGTCTGAAGTCTACATCTCATTGATATTTAACGTTGAGACTGTTTTGGTATGTTTGAAGTGTAGTTAAATGCTGTAGTATGTAGTTCTGGGATCAATTACAAAAAAACAAAATTATGGGAAAAAATACTCGTAAGTCATGAACATTTCAGTATAACATGATCAGTTTTTGTTGTGAGATTTTTTTTGAAGAGAGCATCTGACTTGTGATGACTTTTTCTAGATCTGGATGAAAAAAGAAAGTCTGCTGTTAGGAAAAAAAAATTAAATGGATTTTAAATCTAAAAATAAACAAATCTTATTGAGCATCTTTTGCAATGTAGTGCTTTAAAAAAAGAATGTATTGATTTTGGTCTATTTTTAGACTTTGACATTGTATTGAATTTCACAGCTTGTGTGACTTTGCTTTCAATCCATTAACATATTTTTTCCCAAACTGTGTAATTTTATGAAGAAATATTTGAAAATTCCATATATGATTATGAATGCTCAGTTTATAGTAAGTTCAATATATATTGATCATGACATTCCTTGTATAACTTCAATATAAGTATGAAAGATATCTTTGATAGGTCACAGCTGGTAGTGATAATACTGTATACAAACTTTGTATAAGTGCAAACAAATTTCTGAAGAAGTTTGGAAGTTTCATTTTATTTAATTGTCACATTATTAAAAAAAAAACCATTTGTATAAAGCAAAAAGATATAGAAATAACAAAGTATAAAAAATAGAAAAGGTACAGATTAATATGTCTATTTAGAATTTGAATTTGTTGTGAGTAGTATAACGTATGTCATTTGGCATCAGTTTCATGATCCAAAGTTTTCAGGATGTAGTCTGTTCCGCAGAAACTATGCCTCATTGGTCGACAATATTTTGCAATGAATTGGCTGTGAGGAGTGGCCTTGACCTCATTGTCAGAGGTCAATTATGTTTGTAGCTCAGAGGTTGAAAATATATGTGGATAAATTTAATATACTGAACATATGCACCTGATTTTATTGGACTTCAGATTGAGAGTTGTGTTTTCCATTTACTAAAAAATGTAATATTGCAATTATGGT